GCGGGGAGCACGTGGGTCCCACTGGGGCCGCATGCGGGTGTCTTCCGGCGCCGCTTTGATTGTGTCATGCCAAGGGTTGGGGGTCATTGGTGGGTTCGTGGGGCACGTGGGCACGTTGTGCGCCGGAAGCGGGTTCAACCGTGGCCGTGGCGACGGGACGCGGCGGGGCCCGGACCAGGTACCAGGAGGGGGGCGGGAAGGGGGGAATTTGTGGAGGTCTGAAGGGGGCTCGGGGGGTTTGGATGGGATGGGGTCGGGGTCGGGGTTGGGGCGGGTCCCGGTATCGCGGATCTGGTCGGGGGGTCCCGATACCGGGAGGATTTGGGAGTGTGTTGAGGGGTCGCGGGAGGCTCAGGGATGTTTGGGGGTATCGTACTCGGGGTCTCTGAGGGGTTGGGGTGGGTCCCGGTACCGGAGCTAAGGGAAGGTCGGAGGGGGGGAGAGGTCTCGGTACCGAGGGAGTCGGGGGGATCGAGACGTGGGGTTCTCTCTACCGGATGTATTTGGGTTGGGGTGATCCCCGTACCGGAGGGTTTGGGGGGATCGGGGAGGGGGAGTTGCTCCCTGTCACGGACCGGGTGGGCGATACCGGACCCGGGGGAATCCCCACCGTCTCCAGGTGGTCTCTCAGTATTGACCCTCCCGCCCCTAACCCCCCAGCCATGGACGGGCCCCCCGCCGCCCCCTCCTCGGACCCCGAGCGGCAGCCGGAAGAGCCCGAGAGCCCCCCGGGACCCCTCCACGGTCCCGCTCCAGGCGGGGGGCGGGCGGGAACAGGCGGGGGGGTCCCGGGGGGGCTTCTGGCGCTGCCCCCGGAGGTGCTGCTGCGGATCTGCGGGTTCCTGCGGGCGCGGGACGTGCGGCGGGTCCTGCCCCGGGTGTGCCGAGCGCTGCGGGACCTGGCCCGAGACAGCCTGTCCTGGCGACTGAGGCTCCAGCAGTGCGCCCGGCGCCCCCTCCCCCCGCTGCCAGGTGGGTTTGAGGGCGGCCGGGACCCCCTCAGCCTTCGGGGACCCTAAAGGTTCCCTGGGGTGGCTGGGGGGATCTCCTGTGTTTCCCCCGTTGTCTGTGGGTCTGATGCTCCGAAGGTGGTTCTGGGGGGGAGGGGATGAGGAAGCTGGGAACCCCCCAGCTTTCCCTTGGGGATCCCACTGGCTCCCCCACTTTCCTATGGTATACTGGGAGGAGTGCAGGACTCCTCAGGGGTTGGGGGACCCCTAAGGTTTCCCCAGAGTGGGTGGTGGGATGTCCTGAGTCCCTCCAAGTGTTTGTGGGTCTGATGCTCTTAGGAGGTTGGGAGAGGAAATGAGGAACTGGGGGACCCCCCAATTTCCCCTCCATTACTGCACGTGCCCCCCATTCTCCATCCGGGGTGTCTCTGGGCCCGGCTGGGAGACCCTCCCAGTGCCTCCCCGAGTCCCCCCATGACTTTGGGCCCCCCCTGCTTTCGGTCCCCCCACCCCCTCAGAGTCGGGGTTCGACTGGGCGGCCGCGTGCGAGGACCTGGAGGAGCACCTGGAGCGCTGGGGGGCCGGGGGGGCCCCCATGGAGCACTTCTCCCTGGACGAGGGCCACTTTGCCTCCGTGGACTCCGTCCTGCTGCTGCAGGTGGGACCCTGGGAGTTGGGGGAGAGTTCCCCATTCACCTCTCCCCCCGACCCCAACGCGGGGCTTCCTGTGTGTCTTGGAGGGGCTCCCAGAGGGTTTCCCCTCTCACCTGTCCCGCCCCAATCCAGGGAGGCTCCCTGTGTGTCTCGGGGGGCCGTGACCGCAACGTGAACCTTTGGGACCTGCGGGAGCTGGGCCAGAGCCCCCCCGGGAAGGTGCTGGTCAAGGCTCTGGGCTCAGGGCGCAGTGGGACACACAAGGTGGGCTTCAAACCCCATCCCCTCTCCCTCCCCGAGGTGTTCTGGGGAGTCCTGCAGCTCTTCTGGGTTCCCCTAGGGCTGGGTTTGGTGCTTGGCCGCGCGCGGGTCCCGCGTCTGCTCCGGCTCTTGGGACAGCACTGTCAAACTCTGGGACCTGGAGGCTGAGGGGCAGCAGTTCGGGGAGATAAGGTACTGGCTTGGGGGGTAATGTATGTTAAATATTATTAGGTTATATCAAAATTACATTTATAAATGTGTTCTGTAGCAGTATATTATGTATAATACTGGTATGATAGAATATAATTTATTTTATAATGCATTAGTATTAACAGTAATTATATAATATTATATTAATATACCAGAGATTACATTGTTATATGTTGTGTTGTGTTAGAATACTGATAATAATTATATAACGATATAATTATATATTATTATACTAATATATAATGCATTTATATATTGTATGTTACTGCATTATATCAATATGCTATTGTATATTATAGTAACAATGAATTTTATTTCATTTATTATTTCTAGTTGAAGGTAAACCCGAGTGGGTTGTTCTCACCTCACCTATCCCCCGCCACATCTGGAGGGGGTGTTCTCACCTCTCCTGTGTCCCCCTTAGTTCCGGGGGGTCATCTTAGTCCCATGGGGGTGTTCCCCCCTTCCCTGTCTCACCCCAGTTTTTGATGAGGTTTAAGCCCATTCATTCCACTCGGGGGTCCTTGGCCCCCCAAACCTCCCAGGGAGAAGGCGGCCGTGCTGTGTCTCTCATATGGCCCTGACATTCTCGTCACCGGCACCTACGACAAAACCGTCACCGTGTACGACCCCCGAGGTATGGGGGAGCCTGGGAGGGGCCGGGGAGGTCTGGGGAGCACTGGGGGACCCAGTACTGGAGGGGAGGATCCCAGGACTGGTGGGTTAGGGGGTCTCAATACTGGGGGAATCAGGGCTTGAGGGTCCTGCTGATGCCCCCCCAGCCGGGCAGTTGAGGAGTCTCAGAGGTCCCCCTGTCCCCCGCAGCCGGGCAGGCCCAGGTGGGCAGTTACAAGCCCCATGCCAACGCAGTGCTGGCCCTGGCGGCCGACGAGCGACTCATCGTGTCAGGCAGCGAGGACAGAACCCTGGTGGTCTTCGACCGCAGGGCTGGGGGTGTCCTGCAGCGCCTACAGGTGGGGCTGACCCCCCCTGGGGGGCTGGGAGGCTCCCTGGCCCCCACTGGGATCCCTGGGGAGGCCCTCACTGGGGTGGAGGGAACCTTTGCTGGGTTGGGGGGGTCATCACTGGGTTGGAGAGCTCCTTAATGGGTTGGGGGGGCCATGCTGGAAGAGGGGGGGTGTTCTCAGTGCATTGGGAAACTCCTTTTTGAGTTGGGGTGGCCCTTGCTGGGGTGGAGGGGGCCTGTGCTGGGATGGGGAGACCCCTTTTGGGTTGATGGGGTCCATCACTGGGTTGGGGACCTCCTTTTAGAGTTGGGGGGACCTGTGCTGGGTTTGGCAGGGTCCTCAATGGCCTGGGAGGGGGGCCCTCAGCTGGGTTTGGGGAGCAGCTGCTTTGGTCTGGGGAGACCATCCCTGGCGTTGGGGAGGCCTATGCTGGGCTGGAGGAGCCCCTCTCTGGGCTTCGGGGGGCTCTCAGTGGTTTAGGGACCTCCTCTCAGGGCTGGGGGAGGTCCCTGCCCCCTCTGAGGTGCCATTTAGGGCCATGTTCCCTCCCAGCTGGACAATTACCTGCTGTCCATGTCCTACGGGGGGTCCCAGCTCTGGGCCGGGGACAACCAGGGCCACGTTTACCTCTTTGGCAGCACCGGCGGCGTTTTCCAGCCCCTACGGGTATGGGGGGGGCCGGGGGAGCCTGGGGGGGTGGTTCTGGGTGCCCCCCCAGGCCTCACGGGGATCCCTGTGTCCTCCCAGTACTTCGACGTGGGGCACCAGCTGCAGATCACGGGGCTCTGGCACTCACTGGGATCTCTCTACACCACGAGTACCGACAAGACCCTCAGGGTGGGGGGGCTCTCTGGGCCTCTGGGGACCGGGCTTGGCTCAGGAGGCCCTGGTGGGATAGGGAGGGTCAAGCTGGGCTGGGGAGGGTCCTCTCTAGATTGGGGGGGCTCCTGTGGGGACTGGGGAGACCCTCGTCAGGTTGGGGAAGGAGGCCATCACTGGGCTTATGGGGCCCTCACTGGACTTGGAGGGGCCCTCATTGGATTGGGGGGGTAATGACGGGTTGGGAGGGACCAGGCTGGGCTGGGGGAGGGTCATCACTGGTTTAGAGGGGCCCTTGTGGGGCTTGGGTCCTTTCAGGGTTGGGGAACACCTTTCTGGACTGAGGGGCCCCCTCTGGGTTGAGGGGGCTCATACCAGACTGGAGGGGGACCTTTTCAGGGTGGGGGGGGGGGCCTCACTGGGCTGAAGGGGGCCCTGCCAGTGTTGGGGATCCCCTCACTTTGTTGAGGGGGGCTGCTGCTCCCCCTGGGGGGTTTTGGGGGAGGCTCCCCACCATCATTTCCCTCCTCCCCTGCAGATCCACATCCCCACCGACCCCCCCCGCACCATCTGCTCCTGGACACACGACGACGTCCTGAACGGGGTGAGGGGCTGCCCCTACCCTGTAACCCCCACACACAGGTATTCCCCCTTCACCCCTGCACTGGTGCCCCCCTGACCCTTCTGTGCCCCCCTCAGATCAGCGTGGACGGGGACGTGGTGGCCGCGGCCTCGGGTGGGCTCTCGGTCGAGGTTTGGAGGCTCCGAACCTGACTCAGGGCCAGGGGGATCCCTCCTGCCGGGGAGGGGGGCTCAGCGCGAACCCCCCCCCTCACGCCCAAGGGAAGCCGGACCCGGATCCAGAGTATGGGTGTGGCTGGAAGCTGTTGGTTGTATTAAAGGATTGGACTGGACCGAATTTGTGTGCCCCCGCGGTTTTTGGGGTGAATTCAAGAGGGGGCGTCGTGGAGGTTTAGGGGCTCTCTCGGCACCGAGGCCGTTCGTGTCTGCTCGGCTTTTGTCATTCCACGGCCGCCGTAATAATGGCCAGTCTTCGCGAACGAAGAACCGGGGAAGGTCTTTCCACCTTCCAGCCTGCGCATTGGATTTTTTAGGTGAGACACAGTGTGCGTGGAACAGAGCCCACCCTTTAATCCTGAGGTTCATCTGCCGGGGCCAAGCACGCTTGGACAGTGGCAGCGAGGTCCTCAGGACGTAGATGGATTGCCTTACGGTCTAACGAGCTCCATCTGCCCAGGGAGTGGCCCCGACCGGGAATCGAACCCGGGTCTCTGCAGTGACAGTGCAGCGCCTTTACCCGCCGTAATGCAAAGATGGCGGTGCGCAGGCGTACAGCAGTGGAGGAAGCAAGATGGCGGCTCGCAGCTGTACGGCACAGGAAGGCGGCCCAAGAAGGTGGCGCGCAGACGTATGGGGAGGCGGGGGCGGCCGAAGATGGCGGCGCCCTGACCCGGCCGAGCCATGGCAGCCCCGGTACAGGCCCCGGGGGAGGCCCCGGAACCGACCCCGGGCCCCGGACACCCCCCAGCCGAGGCGCTCCGGGCCGTGCTGCGGCCCAGCGGGGCCCTGCCGGCCGAGGCGCTGCCGGTGCGCGGGTACGACTTCGCGAGCGGCCCTGACCTGGCGGAGCTGCTCCGCTCCTTCCGCACCACCGGCTTCCAGGCCACGAGCTTCGCGCGGGCCGTGGCCGAGATCCAGAGGATGGTGCGGGCACGGGGGGGGCACACGGGGGGAAGAGGGGTCCTGGGAGGGGTCAAACGGGGGATAGTCCCTCGGGAGGTTCCGCGGCGGAGTCCCAGGGCCGTTCCCGTGAATCACATCGCGGGGAGGGGTGGCCGGGTGAGGATCCTGGGAAGTATCCCGGTGGTCCTGGTGTGACTCAGACCTCGTCCCTCCCGGCAGATCTCGGCCAAGCTGCAGCCCCTGACTCCGGAGCAGCGGGACCGGGGTGCCCTGGCGGGGCCGCGGCCGCCCTCGGGCTGCACCATCTTCCTGGGCTTCACCTCCAACCTCGTGAGCTCCGGGGTCAGGGAGAGCATCCGATACCTCGTCCAGCACGGAATGGTGACTGGGGGACACTGGGGGCATGGGGGGGAGACCTGGGACAGGGTGGGACAGCAGGGATGGGGAGGACACCTGGGAACATGGGGGGACACCTGAGACAGATGGGCACACAGCTTCGCGGTCAGGGAGAGCACAGAATGGGGATAAGGGGGGTAAGGGACACCTAGGGGACAGGGTGTCCCTGAGATCCCTGGGGTGTCCCCCGAGGTCTCTGGAGTGTCCCCAGGGCCCTGAGCCCCTCCCTGTGCAGGTGGACGTGCTGGTGACCACGGCAGGGGGGGTAGAAGAGGACTTGATCAAGTGCCTGGCACCCACCTACATCGGAGACTTCCACCTGCGGGGCCGGGACCTGCGGGAAAATGGCATCAACAGGTCTGGGAGCAGGGGGCTGGGGGGCTGGGGACCCCTCTGGGGCCACTCTGGGCTCACTTCGGAGTCATTTTGGGGTCTCCCAGGATCGGGAACCTGCTGGTGCCCAACGACAACTACTGCAAGTTTGAGGACTGGCTGATGCCCATCCTGGACCAGATGGTGGAGGAGCAGGACACGCAGGTTAGGGGGACACACCCACCTGGGAAGGTTTGTGGGGTTCTCAAACATCTGAGTTGCCCCTGGCTCTGGGTGGGGTTTGAGGGGTCCCGGGACACCCCAACCCTGGGGTCCTTACTCTGAGTTCCCCCCAGGGTGTGCAGTGGACACCGTCCCGGATGATCGCACGGCTGGGGAAGGAGATCAACCACCCTGAGTCGGTCTGTTATTGGGCCCAGAAGGTACTGGGGCACAGTGGGAGGTACTGGGGGGCTCTGGGGTTGTCACCGGGGATGTCACTGTATCCCCCCCTCTCAGAACAACATCCCAGTGCTGAGCCCAGCGCTCACCGACGGCTCCCTTGGGGACATGATCTTCTTCCACTCCTACAAGCGCCCAGGGCTGGTGCTGGACATTGTGGCGGGTGAGTGACCCCCCCAGGGGGTCCCCTCTGGGGTTTTGGGGGATCTCCAGGTGTCCTGACTCCCTCTCTGTGCCCACAGACTTACGACTCATCAACACCCAGGCCATCTTCGCCCACAAGACTGGGATGATCATCCTGGGCGGGGGCCTGGTCAAGCACCACATCGCCAACGCCAACCTCATGGTGAGGGGGCTGGGGATGTCCCAGGGGTGGGGAGGGGATGCAGAGAACCCCCAGGACTCACAGATGTGTCCCCCCCCAAGCGGAATGGCGCTGACTTCTCCGTGTACGTGAACACGGCGCAGGAGTTCGACGGCTCTGACTCGGGTGCGCGGCCGGACGAGGCCGTGTCCTGGGGCAAGATCCGCATGGATGCCACCCCCGTCAAGGTAGGGGGGTCCAGGGGAGTCTGGGGTGGAAGCGTGGGGGCATTTGGAAGGGGAGAACCCCCTGACCCCTTCCTCTGGTGCAGGTTTATGCCGATGCATCACTGGTGTTCCCGTTGCTGGTGGCCGAGACCTTTGCCCGCAGCGCCGATGCCTTCCCGGTGCCAGGGGGGCACTGAGGGACTCCCCAGCTCAGGGGCGACCCCCACACATCCCCAGGGCGGGGGACAGTGGGGTGACACCCTGAGGGGGTACAGGAGCCCTCCACACCTGCCCTCCCCTGTCCCTGTGTCCTCCTTGTGCCCATCCCCCTCCCCACTGCTTGTATTTATTTGAGCTTCTAATAAATCACTGCAGGGTCTCCACTCAAAGGGAGTTTATTCCTCATTCCAGGGGAGCCCAGGGGGGTCCTCAGCCCCTCGAACACCACCCCCCCCAGCCCTGTCAGGTGTCGGGATCTCCCTCTGGTTGGAAGGTCTCCTCCCTCCACAGCGTCACCTGACCCTGGGTGGCCGCGAGCACACAGGGCAGGCGTGGGTGGAAGGCCAAGGACTGCACTACCCCTGTGCCCACGGGCAGGCTGAGCACCAATGAGCCCTGGGGGCGACACGGGGGGGTCAGCAAGGGGCTGGGGGGGGTCCCCAAAGCCCCCTGAGGACCCCCTGCTCACCTCCACCAGGTCCCAGAAGTAGATGTGGCCGTCCTCAGAGGCGCAGCCCACGTGTGTGTCCTGCTCACTCAGGACACAGTCCAGCCTGTATGTGGTGCTGCGGTGCCCTGTGTACCTGGGCAGGGGGCTGGGGGTGAGAGGGGGGTCTGCAAACCCCCCAGGAGAGGTAGGAAGGGGTTTGAGGAGGGCTCTTACTCGCCCAGCAGCTCCCCGGTGTCCTTGTCCAGCAGCCTCAAGGTGGAGTCCAGGCTGGCAACCAGCACACACTGCCCATCCTTGGTGAAGCACACGCTGGTGATGGGGCCTGCAGGAACATGGCGGGGAGGAAGGGGAGCCCCCTCCCCACTTTAGGAGCTCTCTCATCACTTTAGGACACCCCTCCATTTGGGAATGCCCTCAGTGCCCTCCCACCCCCGAAACTCACTCCCAATGTAGTCAGAGTAGAGCTGCCCTGCCCGAAGGTCGTAGCGCCGGACACGTCCATCTACAGAGCTGTGGACCAAAGGGGGGTGATTGTGGGGGGTCCCCAATTCGGGGAGGAGTCCCTAGTGAGGAGGAGGCCATCCCTCACCCCGAGAGGATCTCGTAGGCCGAGAGCTTCACGCTGGAGATGCCGTCCTTGGCCTCGTCCAGGACCTGCACGGGGTCGGGGCGGCGGGAGCGGCAGTCCCAGCACCGCACTGTGGAGTCGATGGAGCCTGGGAGGGAAAAAGGAGGGTCAGGGGAGATTTGGGGGTGTCCTGGGGGGAAAAAGGGGGTCTGGGGGTTCACAGGGGACCCCCCCAAACTGCTCCCTCACCAGACACAATGACAGTGGCCTCCTCATTGAACTGGACGCAGTTGACCTTCTGTGGGAGAAGGGGAGAGTGAGTGCCTTGGACTCCCCGTTTTCTTCCCTGGAAGCCACCCAAATTTTTACCCCCCCAGCAACCCAGATTCCCCCCCGGGGCTCACCCCTGCGTGCCCCCGGTACTTGCGGACCACCTGCCCGGTGGTCACATCCCAGAGGGCCACGGCCTTGTCGGCGCCGCCGGAGCAGAGCTGGCTGTTGTCAAAGGACCTGGGGGAACACGGCAGGGGGCGGTGAGTGGGGTGGGAAGGGTCCCCAGGGCAGGGGGCTCCCTGCAGCCCCCCCCCCTTACCCCGCGGCGTCCAGCACCTCGTAGCCGTGGCCCTGGTAGGTGCGAAGGGCTGTGCCCTTGTGGGGGTTCCAGAGCTTGAGGGTCTTGTCGCTGCCGCACGTCAGGCAATAGTTCCCGTCGGCTGGGGGGGAAAGGGGGTGACCCCGCTGTGGGACCCCCAGAAACGGGCACACCCTGCCCAGGAAATGGTACGAGCCCCCCGGGAACCCCAAACCCTGTGCCCGGTTTCCCCCACCCCTGATCCCCACCCGCGTTCCTCCCCGCGGCCTCACCGTTGAAGCGGGCGGCCCGCACCGCTCCCTGCCCGCACTGCAGGGTCCGCACCCGCTGCCGGGGCAGCTCGGGGCGGGCGGGCCGCGGCCTCGGGAACGCCATGGCCGGACCGGGGAAGGCACCGGGGGCGGTACCGGCGATGGGGGCGGCACCGGGGCGGTACCGGGGAACGGAAGAGGCGGCGGTGGTGGCTGAGGGGCCATGGCGGACCCGCGGAGACCTGGCAAGGTGGCCAGGTGGGGCCAGGGAAGGCCCGGGAGGCCCGGGGTGGGGACCGGCAGGAGGAGGAGGACACTAGGGAGGGACCGGGGACCACAAGGGAAAAAACGGGGGTACCTCCGGGAGGGTACTGGGGGGACACCGGGAGGACCGAGGACAGACCCCGAGGGCCCTGATGGTGCCCCTTCCCCCCCCCGCCTTCTCAGGTACAAGCCCCCCGCTACCGAGACCAACCCGGCGCTGGAGGACCCGACCCCCGACTACATGAACCTGCTGGGGATGGTGTTCAGCATGTGCGGGCTCATGCTCAAGGTAGGAGCGCGGGGGGGCATCGGGATCGGCCCGGGGGAGGGGAGGCTTGAGGGCTGGGGGCCGTCCCTGGGGGGATTCCGGGGCGAGGACACAGGGATAGTCCCTTGAGGGGGCTTGGAGGGGACAGGGGTCATCTGCAGGGGAGTCTCAGGGTTTGTTCCCAGGGTGTTCAGGGGGTGTCAGGGGTTCTTGGCAGGGGGTCTCAGTTGTGTCAGGGCCCATCCCCACGGGATCTTGGAGGTCTCAGGGTCTATCCCCAGGGGCTCTCAAGGGGGCTTCCAGGGGTCCCCAACTCAAGTGGTGTGCCTGGATCGCCATGTACTGCTCCTTCACCTAGAGGAGCCCTGGGAGGGTTCATGGAGTCTCAGGTGGCTCAGAACCCTTCCCCAGGGTTTCAGGGGGGTCTCAAAGGAAGTGTCTCGGGGATCCCCAGCTCAAGTGGTGCGCCTGGATCGCCGTGTACTGCTCCTTCATCAGCTTCGCCAACTCCCGCAGCTCTGAAGACACCAAGCAGATGATGAGCAGCTTCATGTGAGTCCCAGGGGAGGTCCAGGGGGAGCCAGGGGGCCGTGGGGATCTCTGATGTCTGTGTCCCCTCCAGGCTCTCCATCTCGGCCGTGGTCATGTCCTACCTGCAGAACCCCCAGCCCATGTCCCCGCCCTGGTGACGGTGATGGGGGAAATCGGAGAGGGGGCAATAAAAGGTGGTCCTGCCACTGGTGTGGTCTGTACATACTTGGGGGGGGAGATGTAAGGGGGCCTGAGGGCAGTTTGGGGGTTCCGGAGAAGTTTGATGGGGGGCAGTTTTGAGGCAGTCTGAGGGCCCCAGGGGAGTTTGGGACCATCCAGGGAGAGTTTGGGGGGATCTGGGGGCAGTTTGGGGGTCCTGGGGGGGCCCAGAGCCTCTAGGACCCTCAGTCCCCCCCCCCCCCCCGCTGCCGTGAGGGAACCGGCTCCTTGACATCCCACTGGAGGAGATGAATGCTCGGCACTCGCTCCCCGCCAACCACGGCTGGGCGGGGGCGGGGCTCCGGGAACCGCTAGAGGTGATTATCTGCTCATCGGTTCCCGCCGTTGCAAACGCCTTCCCGGTGAGCTGTCAATCAGGGCGCTCCGCCTTCTTATTGGCTCTTCTCCGTTTCGTTCCCGCCCTCGTCCGGCGGGAGCTGTCTTCGCGCCGTTCCGTTACGCCCCGCCCCCTGTACTCGCCACGGCGAATCAGAGCGCGAGGCGTGGCCCGAGCAGCTTTTACCCGGCCACCCATTGGTTGGCCCTCGCTCAGGGGGCGTGGCCAATCCGAGGGCCAGGGGTTCCCGGATCATGTGAACGGACGGTCACGTGATCGGGAGTGTCATGGTGTCGGCGCCGCTAGTGCTGCTCCTGCTCGGGGCGGCGGTGGCGGCCGCGGGCTGCGGGTATCAGGTGGGACGCGGGGGTCGAGGGAGGTGACAGCGCCCCGGAAGGGGCTGAGGAGAGACCGGAGTTTCCTGGGGAAACGTGAACTGAGGGCACTGTGAGGGATTGGGGGAACTGGGGTGGACTGGGAGCACTGGAAGGGGTTGGGGGGCACCCGAGGAGGGTGACAGGGCACTAGAAGGGGCCGAGGGGCAACCAGAGCGGGATCGGAGGGTCCTGGGGAATCGGGAACTGGCAGAAATTGGGGAAACTGGTAGGGGCCCGGGGAGAACCGGAGTGTCCGGGGGAAAGGGGAACTGGGGGAAAGTGGGAGGGACTGGGGGCACTGGGAGGGACCTGGGGGGAACCGGAGTGTCCGGGGGAAAGGGGAACTGGGGGAAAGTGGGAGGGACTGGGGGCACTGGGAGGGACCGGGGGGGAACCGAAGTGTCCTGAGGAAAGAGGAACTGGAGGAGCTGGGGGGGAACTGGGTGGGGCTAGAGGACACCGAGTGTCCTGGGGAAATGGGAACTGGGGCATTGGGATGGACTGGGGGGCTGTGGGGGAGCCCCGTCTGAACCCACCGGGCCCCTCTCCCCTCCCAGTCGTGCCCCCCCACCCGGCCCGACCTGCTGAACGTTCACCTGGTCCCACATTCCCACGACGACGTCGGCTGGCTCAAAACCGTGGACCAGTATTACTATGGAGGTGGGGGGGGGCACCGAGGGGGAGGACATGTCACCTGGGTTCCCCCACAGATGTCCCCATGCCCTTGTCCTTCCCCCCCCCCGCCCAGTGCTTTGTGATGACCCTGTGCCCCCCCGGTGCCCCCTCAGTGCGGAACGAGGAGCAGCACGCGGGAGTCCAGTACATCCTGGACTCAGTGGTGGCTGAGCTCGGGTCTGACCCCGCCCGACGCTTCGTCTACGCTGAGGTGGCTTTTCTGTCCCGCTGGTGGGGACAGCAGGACAAGGCCACACAGAGCAGGGTCAGGGACCTCGTCCAGCATGGTACGGGGGCAATGGGAGGATCTCCAGGATGGGAGGGATCACTGGGAGGGCTATGGTGGCATCGGGTGGGACCCGGGGTGCGGGGGGCTCTGGAATGTTTCTCTGGGGTTCTGGGGATGCAAAGGGACCTGGGGAGGCACTGGGGGTGTGCACAGGGATATTTGGGGGTTCTGTGTGACCATGGCAGGGTGCACAGAGACATGAGAGAGGGGGGGCTCAGTGGAGTTGTGCCCTTGGTGGGGTTGCAGGGGGGGGCTGCACCTCTGAGGGTACCCAGTGACCTTGTAGGGGGTGGTGCTGGCTCTGGGGTGGCCCTCGAGGGATTTTGGGGTGCTGATCCCCCCTCATGCTTTCCCCAGGCCAGCTGGAGTTTGTGGGGGGGGGCTGGTGCATGAGTGATGAGGCCACGACCCATTACGGGGGGACCCTGGAGCAGATGGGGCTTGGCCGGCGCTTCCTGCGCCGCCACTTTGGGGACTGTGGGACCCCCCGCGTGGGCTGGCAGATCGACCCCTTCGGGCACTCTCGGGAGATGGCAGCTGAGTTTGCTCAGGTGGGGACCCCCAAACCTCCCCTGTGCATCCCCCGATCCTTCCAATCCCCTCCCTGACCCTTCCTCTGTGCCCCCAAACCCCTCCCTGCTCCCCCAACCCCTCTGCAGACACCCCCAAACTCCCCAGGGGACCTTCCCGACCACTGCCTCTGACCACCTCCCAGTGTCTGTGACGGGTTCTTTGTGGGACCCCCAGTGACACCCTCCCCCCATGCCCCCCAGATGGGGTACGATGGGCTGTTCCTGGGCCGCGTGGACTACCAGGACAAGATGGCTCGGGGACACCGCCAGGAGCTGGAGTTGCTCTGGAGGGGGAGCTCGAGCCTGGACCCTCCCACAGCTGACATCTTCACTGGTCAGGGGACCCCCAGGACCCCCAAACCTTCCCTGGGACCCCCAAACCTGCCCTGTCTCCATCCCTCCTCCGCCACTGGTGACAGCCTGGGACCCCCCAAAACCCTATCCCTTCCTGGGGGTCCCCCCTGGGGTTGTTCTGCGTCCCCAGGGCTGACCTAGCCCAGAGCTCACGTCCCCAGCACTGTTCCCCCCCGAGTCCATGTCCCTTCTGTCCCCAAGGGTCCTGCCCTGGCCAGAGAGTGACACTTGTGTCCCCAGGAATCCTGCCCAACATGTACAACCCCCCCGCCGGGCTGTGCTGGGACCAGCTCTGCTCAGACCCCCCCGTGGTGGATGGGGATGGCCCTGAGCGCAACGTGGACGAGGTGGTCTCATCTTTCCTGCAGGCAGCAACCACTCAGGTGGGGCTGGGGGTCTCAGACCCCTGAGAGGGGCTCGGGGGGGTGCCTGTGACCCCCAGGTGAGGGGCCTGGGGGTCCCTGTCCCCCTGGAATGGGGGTCTTGTGGTGGGATGGGGTTCCCAGGGGTCTGTGGGTGTCCTGGTGGTCCCTGCCCCCAGGTGAAAGTCCTTGGGGTCCCTGCCCAGGGTGGGGGTCCTGAGCCGTGTCCTCCCCCAGGCTAGGCAGTACCGGACCAACCATATCATCATGACCATGGGCTCCGACTTCCACTACGAGAATGCCCATCTGTGGTTCAAGAACCTGGACAAGCTCATCGCCCACGTCAATGCCCGGGTGAGGGTCCCCCTGTGCCCCACCTTTCCCCTGACACCCCCTGTGCCCCCTCCCTGTTCCTCCCCCAAACCTCATCCCTGTAGCTCAAGAACCAGAACATGTTCATTGCCCAGGTGAGGGGGCCCACTGTGTCCCCCAGCCCACCCAAACCCCACATTTTGTGGGGGTGTCCCCCCTTAATCCCTCCTCCTTTGTCCCCCACTTGTCTCCCCCTTCCCTCCCCTTTCCCTCCCTCTTCAGCCCCCGCCATGACCCATCCTGTGACCCCCCTCCCAGCAATCCAACGGGAGCCACGTCCACGCCCTGTACTCGACCCCGTCCTGTTACCTGCAGGAGCTGCACCGCGCCAACCTCACCTGGTGAGGGACGGGGACAGGGGGAAGGTATAGGACAGAGGGACAGTTGTGTCACAGATGTTACAGATGTGTCAGGTGTGTCCCCCGTGTTCTCCAGGCCCCTCAAGACAGATGATTTCCTGCCGTACTCGGATGGGCCCCACCAGTTCTGGGCCGGGTTCTTCTCCAGCCGCCCGGCCCTCAAGGGCTACGAGAGGCTCAGTCTGGGCTTCCTGCAGGTGGGACACTGGGGACACCCCCAGGAATTGGGGACTACCCACCCTGGGACCCCATTCTGGGTATTGGGGCCCCCCTCCTGGGTGTCATGGACCCTGCCCCTGGGCACCAGGGATGCTCCCATGCAGTAGGCACACCGTTCCAGGTATTGGGGATCCCTTTCTAGGTATCAGGGACCTCTTCTGGGCTTTGGAAATCCCCTTCTGGGTGCCCAGGACCCCCTCCTAGGTATTGAGGGAGCCCATCCTGGGCCCCAGGGCTTCCCTAAGCCCCGCTGTGCCCCCCTACACCCCTCTGTTGCCCCCACCCAGATCTGCAGCCAGCTGGAGGCCCTGGTGGGACCAGCAGCCCGGGAGGGTCCCCAAGGCTGTGGGGACAGCTCTGTGCTCCGTAAGTACCCTTTGTGAGGGGACCAGGCACCCCCAGACCCCCTGGATGATACCGAGCCCCCCGCAAGCCCCATCCGTGCCCCCCCAGGCGAGGCCATGGCCGTGGCCCAGCACCACGACGCTGTGACTGGCACCGAGAGGCAGCACGTGGCCAATGACTATGCCCGGCAGCTCTCGGGGGGCTGGGCAAGCTGCCAGGTGGGACCCCCACCCCTGTTTGGGGGCCACAGGGGTGTTTGAGGGGGCACAAGGTCAGGGAATGCAGTGGGGGTGTCAGCCACCATCATGTTAATGGTGGGGGCTGGTGTTCCCCTCCACAGGGGGAACTGGTGGTGGAAGGTTTGAACTAGTGATGAGACCCTGAGACTAGGGGGATTTGGGGGGCATGGGAGGGGTTGGGGGGACACAAGTTCGGGGAACACAATGGGGGGTCAACCAGCTTTGTGTTAATGGGGAGAACTGATGTGGGGGGTGTTGAACTGGCGTGGGGATGAGTGGGAGGTGCAGAAGACACCTGGCGAGGGTTCTGGGAGCATGAGGGGGCTGAGGGTGACCCGGCAATCACCCCACTCATTCCCAGCCCCGCCCCCCCATTCTGACAGGTCCTGGTGGCCAATGCTTTGTCCCTCCTGGGGCACTCCAAGGACCCCCTGGTGTTCTGTGACGCCCTCAACGTCAGTGTGTGTCCTCTCACTGAGACCTCCACCCATGTGAGCACCTGGGGGAGAACCCTGGGGGGGACGCTATGGAGTCCCCCCAGGCCTTACCCTGCTACCCTGATCCCCCTCAGTTCACCGTGATCCTCTACAACCCCCTTGCCCGCCGCATGTCCTGGCCTGTGCGGCTCCCAGTCAATGGGACATGTTACGAGGTGACGGACCCCCAGGGCCACCCCCTGCCCAGCCAGGTAAGCCCAGACCCCCACAGGACCACCCCCTGCCCAGAGAGGTGAGCCCAGACCCCTCCTTGGCTCCCCTGACTCCCCTCTGTGTCCCCAGGTGGTCCCAATGTCGGGGGTGACCCGCCAGCTCCAGGGCAGGGCTGGGGGGGCCCAGGGGGAGCTGCTCTTCCAGGCCTTTGCCCCCCCCCTGGGATTCAGCACCTTCAGGGTCCAGCAGCTGAGCCAGGAGGACCCCCAGGGCCCCCCAAAATGGGTCTCGGAGGAGTCAGGGCCGCTGGAGATCCAGAATGAGGTAAAGACCCCCCAGAAAGGGTGCTGAGTTCAGGGTTATGGGGGGTGATCCCTGGGCAGGGGAATGAACCCCCAGAGGAGTCACAGATCCCACTTAAACCAGTTTGGGAGGACTGGGAGGTGACTCTCCACTCTTCACCCACCAGCACCTGCGGGTCCTGTTTGACCCCCTCACGGGGCACCTGAGGGAGATCCAGAACCTGGACAAGGGGGTCTCCCTGCCTGTCTTCCAGAACTTCTTCTGGTGAGGCTGGGGGTCCCTGCTGAGTTTTATGGGGTTCTTGCTGAGGTTTGGGGGAGGGTTCCTGAGGAGGGGAGGGTTTCCCTCAGTGGGGTGTCCCTGCTGACCTCCCTTTGCCCCCCCAGGTATGCAGCCAGTGCCGGGGATGCTGCAAGCCCCCAGGCCTCAGGCGCCTACATCTTCCGGCCCAGCTCCGGGCCCATCCCCGTGGCCAAACACGTCTCCACAGCCCTGCTCAAGGTGGGGAGGGGTCCTGGGGAGCTCCCCCGGCTTTGGGGGGGTCCCTTGGTGCTGATTGTGCCCCTTGTCCCTCCCCCAGACACCGCTGGTGCAGGAGCTGCACCAGAACTTCTCCTCGTGGTGCTCCCAGGTCGTGCGGCTGCGCCCGGGGCAGCCCTTCCTGGAGCTTGAGTGGACCCTGGGGCCCATCCCTGTGGGGTGAGCGGGGACCCCTGACACCCCTGGAGACCCCCAACTTCCCCCTAGACCCTAAGCCCCCTACCCCCCCAGGGACGGCGTGGGGAAGGAGGTCATCACGCGTTTCGAGACGCCGCTGGCCACGGCTGGGAGGTTCTTCACCGACTCCAACGGGCGCCAGATCCTGGAGCGCAGGTTTGGAGGGGGCTCAGGGGACCCACAGAACCATCCTCCAAAACCCCCAGGACCCCCACAACCCCCTTGTGCCTCTGCCAGGAGGGATTACAGGCCCACATGGAACCTGAGCCAGACAGAGCCAGTGGCCGGAAATTATTATCCCGTGAACACTCGGATCTTCATCCAGGTGCTGCATTGTGGGGGCCCAAGGAGGGGCTCAGCATACCTGGGGCCATGCCCAGGGACCTTCACAGCTGACCGCCTCCCTTCTCCCTTTCTCTCTCCTTTCCCCTCCCCAGGATGAGAAACTGCAGCTGTCGGTGCTCACAGATCGCTCCCAGGGTGGGAGCAGCATCCAAGATGGGGCCCTGGAGCTCATGGTGAGGCGGGGGACACACTTACAACTTCACCTGTCCCCCCAGGTGCACCAGTGGTGTCCCCATGGGGGTGGGACACATCTGGGACCTCACCTGTTCCCCCAGGTGCACCGGCGGCTCCTGCACGATGACGAGCGGGGAGTGGGGGAGGCCCTGGACGAGCCCCTGGTGGTCCGGGGGAGGCACCTGGTGCTGCTGGACCCCTCAGGGGCTGCGCCTGATGGGCACCGGGCCCGAGCACAGGAGCTGGTGACACCTCCCCACCTGGTCCTGGCACAAGGAGAGGGGCCTCATCTGAGACAGGTGAGACACAGGGGGGCTGGGAGGGGAGTGTTCACCTGAGACAGGTGAGAGGAGAGTGGTCTGCAGGGCCTTGTGAGGTGGGAGGGTCTGCAGGGTCTCACCTGCCCCAGGTGAGCTGGGGGGGTGGTGTCTGCCAGGCTCACCCCTTCCCCTCCACGACGCAGTTCTCAGGGCTCCGCCGGGCACTGCCCCCCCACCTGCACCTGCTGACAGTGGCCCCGGGGGACGACGCTGGGACTCTCCTGCTCCGCCTCGAGCACCTGTCAGAGCAAGGCGGGACAGAGACCCTCGACATCACAGTGAGGGGGCTCCAGGGGGAGCAAGGGGGGTCCTGGGTTGGATTTGGGGGTCCTGGGACCAGTGCTTGGGATCCTGGAGGGCAATGGGGGTCCTGTGGGTGGGGGTCACAGGGTTGGGTTTGGGGGGGGACTCTGACAGGGTTGCCCCCACCATGGGGTGGGATGGGGATTTGGGGGGGGTCTCTGACACTTGGGGGGGGGTCAGGAGTTTGGGGGACAGGTTTGGGTGGTCCCTGACAGTCCCATGTGCCATGGGGTGGGCTGGGTGAGGTGCAGGGTCAGGTTCAGGGGGTCTCTGAGGGCTGTGCCCCTCCCAGACCCTGTTCTCAGCCTTCACCATCACGGCCCTGCGGGAGATGGCCCTGGCAGGGGATGTCCCCCTTGAATCCGTGTCCCGCCTGCTCTGGACCACAGCCACAGGTACCAGGGGGTCCAGGGGAGGCCCCTGGGGGAGTCCTGGCTTCCTGTCACCGCCCGTTTTCCTCCCAGGCATCCCAAAGCCCCCCAGAGTGCCCAGACTGGACCCACGCCGGGTGACGCTCGAGCCAATGCAGATTCGGACCTTCGAGGTCACCGTGCGGTACCCGGGGCTGGGGGGGCCCTGAGCCACCCCCCCACCCTCTACCCTCACCAAAAAGTGCATTAAAGCCCCTGAGTTTTATCAAACACTGTTTAATGGGGGTCAGGGCTGAGGGGTGTCTGGGGGACGGCTTGGGGTCCCTCCTCATGGGAGTAACAGCACTGGTCACCCCGGGAACAAGTGCCCTGTTGGGGGGAGGGGGAAGGAGGATATGAGGAGGGGGCTGTGACAACCCCCTGCCCCATGACCCCCCCTTCTTCATTCCCAGATCCCCTCCCTTATTCCTGGACCCCTCCCCATGTCCCTGGACCTCTCCCCATGTTCCTGGAACCCCCCCAGTGTTCCCAGACTCCCCTCTCCCCATATTCCCAGACCCCCTCCCCATAATTCCCATACAGCTCCCCTCTTATTCCCAGTCCCCTCTACTCTTATTCCTGAACCCCCCGTCCATGTTCCCAGACTCTCCTCCCCTTGATTCCAAACTCCCCCTGCATTCCTGGACCCTCCTTTGTTCCCAGCCCCCTCCCCAGTGTTTTGGGACTTCTACCCCGATACTTTGGGGTGTCCCCCGGTATATTTTGGGCCCCCCCACCTCCTTGAACCGTTTGCAGGGGAACTGTTTGAGCTCAGCCCCATCTGGACGCTCCGTCCGCTTGTTCTGGAGCCGCTTCCGCTTCTCCTGCAGGGAGGGGGAAATGCCCCCCCTGGGGAGTGGAGGGGGGGCATGAGCTGGGGACCCCCCAGGAAAGGGGGGGAGGGAGCTGGGGGTCTCCCCTGGAAAGGGGGACAGAACTGGGAATCCCCCCAAAAAGGACAGAGCGAGGGACTCATCCCTTCCCCACTTTTAGGGGGATCTGATCCCAATTCCTGGCAAAAAGAGGGGGAATATCCCACTTGGGAATGAAAGCGGGAAGCTGAACCCCCGAATCAGCCCCCCTAGCCCCTCACCCTGCCTTGGCTCTGGCCTTGGGACCCCAAAAGGCTTCAGGGTTTTCAGGGAACCTCTTCAAGCCGCGTTTCCGGGAGCTGGGATTGGCATCATCCCGGAGGGCGAAGGAAGCCTGGAGCCTTTAGGGAGACACAGAGGGGATTTGGGGGGCTTAAAAGGGGGCTCAAGGGGATTTGGGGGGCTCAGGGGGTGGATCGGGGAGGTCCTACGTGGGCTCCACGGAGAGGATTCGGGCAGCTGGGCTCGTGTCCGGGAGCCGCTCCAGTTTCACCGGGTGCAGCTTTGCCTGGGAAAAGGGGTGTGGGGGTTTGAGCTCAGCCCAGATTTTGGGGGGTCCCTGGGGGGTCCCAGAGTCCCCTCCTCACCCAGCAGCGCATGATGTCCCAGAGCACTGCAGGAGGGGCGTCGGTTTTCACGGCGTTTTTACAGGCATGGGACAGAGACACCTGGAACCCGGCGTGAAGGAGGGCGGACCTGGGGGCACAGGGGGGTCAGGAGAGGCACAGTGGGGTCAGGGGGTGCCCCAAGGTGGGGTTTGAGGGTCCCTGTACCTGAGTTGCAGCAGGGAGGGGGTGTTGCTGCGGATGGTGCTGCTCAGCCCGTCCAGGGTGTAATAAAGGGGGACATGCCCCAGCTCCTGGTTTTGGGGGGTTAGAGGGACCACAGTCACCTCCAGCCCCACAATTGGGGGGTGCCTCCCCCTCCCCAGCCCTAAGGGGGTCCCCAGTACCTCAGAGATGACACTCAGGACCCCCTTGAGCCGTGGCTCCGTCGCGAAGCGCCCAGGGCTCCTCTCCAGGGCCTCCAGGACCCCCCCCACGAACTCGGGGTCGTGCAGGGGCTCCGCCCACACGGGACCCCCCAGCTGGGGGGTCACAGGGAGAGAAAAGGGAGGTTCAGTGATGGAAAAGGGGGCACCAGGGGCAGTCAGGGGGCTCGGGGGGGCACCTGCACCCACCTGGTGCCGGTGGTGGCAGAACTCGCAGGTGGGACCGACGGGTGGCCCCGAGGCCGCCCCGAACTTCAAACTGGGGGGGGTGTGGAAATTGGGGTGTGAGCAGCCCCCCCACCATCACAGCCCCTCACCCACCCCTAGGTCCCCCAAAACCACACCAGGATGCCCCAGACCATCCTGGGATCCCCCAAACCACTCCAGGGGTGCCCCAAACCACCACAGGAGCCCCCAAACCATCACAGCCCCCCCCCAACCACCCCGGGAACGCCCACATCCACCCTGGGACCCCCCAGACCATGCCAGGGATTAGCCACGGCCCCTCAAGCACCCCCAGAAGAGGTCTGTACCTATTGCCATGGGTCGTGGCCCTTCCCAGGCGCTGCAGGTGGTGGGAGCCACAGCCCACGCAGTGAAACACCAGCGCCTGTTTGCTGGGGAGGGGGGGAACAGTGGGGTCATAGGGCCTGAAGGGGCAAAGGGGCCCCCCCCAAACCCCTCCAGGCCCTCACCTGGCTGAGGCCTTGACCTTGGCCTGGCCAGTGAAGACCCTCACGAACACCCTGACATAGAAGTCAGCGCTGAGCGAGAGCAGCGGCACCACGAAGCGCTGGTAACAGTTGGCCCGGAGATCGAGGCTGTGCAGGACAATCCGCAGGGCCTGGAGGGGCACAGGGCAAGTGGGACCCCCTTACCCCCCGCTGGGGTCACAGTTCCCCCCCGGGATCCCTGCATTGGGAGGGACTGGTGGGGTCCCAGAATTGGGGGAGGGTGGGGAGGGGACAGGATGTTCCCTGAGCCCTCCCTGGGACACTGGAGGCAAAGGGGGATCCCGAGATGATGGGGACCCCAAAAACCCCCCCAGGGTCCTCCCAGAACCCCCCAGCACTGGTGGGTCCTTAAGTGGTCCCATAATTGGGGTGCGGTGGGGAAAATCAGGATGTTCCTTAACCCCCCTAATCCCCCATTCCCCAAGAACACTGGGACCTGCCTGGATAGCCCCAGGGCACCCCCCAGACCCCTGGGGCCCTCCCCCCAGACCCACCATCTCGTGGCAGAACTTGCCCTTGAGGGACACAGCCCCATATTTGCTGTAACAGGTCTCAGGGCTGTTCCCAGCCATCACCCCCATGTCGGTGCAGGTCACACACAGCAGCCCTGGGGAATTGGGGGGTAGTCAGAGGGGGCTGAGAGGGCATCCAGGGGGGTCCCCCGAGCCCCCCCCTGCCCCCACTCACCCCCCTCGCTCACGGCCTGAACGGCCGCGTCCAGGAAGGGGGAGGGGCTCCCATAGGGGTCCAGGTCAATCACATCAAAGGGCTCCCGGTCGGCCTTGCTCTGGTACATCAACATCCTGCGGGGGCAGGGGGGATCAGGGGACCCCCAAAGGCCCCTTGGGGGTCTTCAGCACCCCCTGACGCAGCAGCAGTCTGGAGAATTTGGGAAGGGGGTGGTGTTTGGGGGACTTTTGGGGAGGGGAGGTCTGGGATGGTTTTGGGGATGGTTGAGGGGGAATCAGGGGAGCTTTGGGAGGGATTTGCAGAGGGACTGGGGGGCATTACCTGGCGTCCCCCAGGTGGGGGGTGACGAGCCCCCCAACGCTATTGAGGGCCACGTTCCGGGCCATGGCTGTGACGGCGGCGGCCGAGCGGTCACAGGCCACGACGGCCCTGAGCCCGGGCACCTCCTGGGCAAAGCGGATGGAGCGGAGCCCCGAGGCTGCCAGGGCCTCCAGCACCCGCAGCCCACCCTGGAGAGCACGGGGGGGGGGGGTAAAGGGGAGATCAGAGGGGCCTGAACCTCTCCTCACTGCACCCCCAAATCCCCACAGCCCCCCCAAAACTGCCCAGACACCCCCAACTCCCCTCCTACCTCCCCAGCCCCCCCCTCACCTCACAGGCCTCTCCCGGCCGTGCCATCCGGGGGGTTTCAAGGGCTCTCGAGGGGTCTCCACCCTCGTGGGGGGGACTGGGGAGTTCCCCAGCCTCGGGGGGTTTAGGGGGGCTCCCCCCCACCACCTCCTCTTCCTCCCCCGGGAGGATGACTGGAAAAGAAAGGGGGAGGGCTGTGAGAGAGCCTTGGGGACCCCAGAAATGGGGTCTGGGAGGGCACGGGAGACAGGGACCCCCAGGGATGGGTCATGGGGGATCCTGAGGGACCCCAAAACCCACCGTACCCTGGATGCCCTTCGGGCGCAGCCACAGCCGCGCGAACTCCGTCAGGACGGCACAGCTGGGGGAAAAAGGGGGGGTCAGGGACCCCAGTTCTCCCCTGGGTCTTCAGGGCACCTCAGAGACCCCCAGGGCCAACCCAGGACACCTGAAAATCCTCCCTCAACCCCCACATTCCTCCTGTGACAACATTAACCCCCCAGGATCCCTCTGGGACTCCCCAGGATGCTCCCACGACAACTCGGGATCCCTTGGAGCCCCCCCAGACTCCCAAAAGCAAGCCTGGAGCATCCCCCGGACCCCTACAGGAGGTCCCGGGGCAGGGGTCCCCTCGGAGCCCCCCCCTGACCCTCCCGCGACACCCCTCTGCCCCTCAGGGCTCCCCAGGATGCCCCGGGTCCCCCAGTATCCCCCCCCGCCCCCCTGGCTCACGTGAGGTCGCGGTTGAAGCCCTGCACGGGGTTGTAAAACACCTCGTTGGCACTCGGGAACACGATGGTGGCCTTGCCTTCCGTGATCAGCGTCTCCCCGGGCCCGGAGGGGGCCCCAGACCCCCCTGCGGTTCCCCCCGACCCCTCCGAAGGGGACGCGGAGCCGTTGTGGGGGGAGGAGGGTCCGTCCATGGCGGGGGGGCCACGAGGTGGGGTGGGAGGGGTTCTGCAGAGGGTCCTGAGGGCCGTTCCTGGGGGGTGGGGGGAGGTTAAGGTTTGGGGGGAAATGGGAGCGCCCCGTGGGATGAGGGGGGGAGGGGGGGCGAGGAAAGGAGTGGAGACCCCCCAAAAAAGAGGCGGGGAAAGGGGAGGGGGCAGCGGGGCTGAGCTGGGAGTAGGGGAGGGGGACACGGAACCCCCGCGACGGGGAAGTGGGGGTGAGACCCCCAAAATGGTGACAGAAAAACACCCCCAGCACGTGGCACGCGACAAGGCCCGGGAGCGGGGTACCCTCAATCCCGCTTCCTCAAGGCCCTGCCTCCTCCAGGCTCCTTCCCGGTGTCTCTGCTGTGTCCTGGCGCCCCCCCTCAATGTCCCTCAATGTCCCTCAATGCCCCCTCACCGTCGCCTGGCGCCCCCCCCTCACCCGCGCGCGCCGCCCCGCGCATCCCCGGCGCCTTCATGTAAGCGCCGCCATGTTGAGGAAGTCACCTGACACCCCGACGGCCACGGGGACCGCGCAGGGTCAAAAAACTTCCGCCCGCGACCGTGGGTGGGGGCAATCCCGGTAGTTGCGACCCTCCTTTTTCCCCCCTTGCATTTTCAGCCTGTTTCAGGCCTGTGTTAGGTCTGTTTTCCGCCTGCTTCAGGAGCGCTTTCTGCCTATTTCAGGCCTGTTTCCGGCCCGTTTTCTGCCTTTTTCAGACGTGTTTTAGCTCTGTTTTCGGGGGGTTTGTGTCTCCCCCCCACCCCCGCGGTGCGCGCCGAGGGCGGTCGATGATTCGGCGCTCTGCCGGCGGGGCGCAGGCGCGCTCTGCGCTCAGCTGCTCGCGCCTGGCGCTCCAATGAATGGCCGCTGAGCGCGGCGGCTCCGGGAGCGGCTCCGGCACCGGGAGCGGGTCCGGGAGCGGCCCCAGCGCAGCCCCCGCGCCCCCCGGTAAGGCGGGGACCCCCTGGCCCTGCCGTACATCCCCCCTGGGACTGGCCCTCTCCCCTCCATCCGGCCCCCCTGGGCCCGCTCTGCCCCCCCTCCCTCCCCCCTGCCCCGGTACCCCCGGGCCTCAGGCGCTTCCCCCCCAAGCTCCCCTCGCGGTGAACCCCCCCCAGGATGTGGGATCCCCCCCGGGATTGGGGGGCTGCGCTGTTTATACCCCCCCCCCGGCGTGTTTTGGGGTCCCCCCATTTCACACACACACACACACACACACACACACCCCACGGGTTGGGGGATTTATTGGCATCCCTCCTCCCCGAATTTTGGGACCCCCTCGTTGCTCCCCTCCCCAGGATTGGGGCGGTGCGGTGTTTAGAGACCCTCCCCACCAGGGTTTGGGGTCCCCCCGCTGTGTCCCCACCCCGGGTTGGGGGATTTACCGAGACCTTCGCCACTATTTGGGCCCCCCATTGATCCCACCCAGAAACTGTAGGGTCCTCTCCGTCCCCAGTCCGGGCAGTGGGGTCCACCCTCATTGTGCCCTCATGGGGTTGGGGGATTGACTGACAACCCCCCCCAAAATTTTGGGGTTCCCATTGCCCCCTCCAGAGACTGCCCCCAATCCAGGGGGTGGGACCCTCCTTCTCCCCAAAGTGAGGGGGGTATTCTCTCTGTGCCCAACCCCAGGGGGCCCCAGGCCTGACAACTCCCCCACTCCCAATATCCCCAGAACTGGGGACCCCTCAGAGCCCCCATCGCCTTGGTGGGGAACCTCCCCCGTACAGGGACCCCCCACAAAAGGGAACACCCCCCACAGGATCCCTGGTCTTTAGAAGGGCCTCTGATCCCCCCCGACTCCCTTCCCACTACCCCATTTTGATGGGGGCTTTGAGGGGGGAATTTGGGGTGTCCCCCCCTCGGGTGGGGGTGCTGGACCCCCACAGGGTTGTGTCTGATCACTGTCCCTTGTCTGTCCCCGTCCCTTCTGGTGC